GGGCGGGAAGAAGACTCAAATCACAACTTAGAATGCCATCTGTGCATTATGTGACCATTAGGGTTGTTTAAAAAAATTGACAAATTAAGTAAACTAAGAAAACTGAAAAAAAATAACTAAAAAAATTTAATCCAGAAAAAAAAATTGATTAAACTAATTAGAATATTTAAAAAGAATTCTAGTTCGTGACCATTAGGGTTGTTTAAAAAAATTGATAAATTAAGTAAAGAAAACTGAAAAAAAAAACTAAAAAAATTTAATCGAGAAAAAAAAAATGATTAAACTAATTAGAATATTTAAAAAGAATTCTAGTTCGATTTGATTTTCAGTTTTGTAATGCAGACACTGGTTAACCCGAACCAAATAAAACCAGTTAAAAATAAATCCCTAACCAGACCAACTGTAACCATAATATAAATAGAAAATCTTACCCCCTTTCCATTGCCGCTAACCCTAACTAGAGCATCTATCCCCTCTCGCTGGTCTTTTTAGACTTAGAAAATAAACCTAGACATCCAAAATAGTTTGTGTTTCCATCGTCACTTGGAAACACAGAGATTTTTCGCTTGATTTGCCCAGTAACCCTAGCTATCAACTTGCAAACACCTGCTTTCTCTTGCCTCTCCCCCTCTCCTTCTCCTTAGAATTATAAATAGAGAGATCCAAAACAACCAGACACACCAATTAATTGAAATTTAAAACCAATCAAGTCTCTCAAAAACAGATCGATATTTTTCATAACCTATCTACTATCTAGTTGGCCTTTCCTTTTCATCTACACAAGATCACATGGTACTCCACACTCTCCACTACTCCGAAACCGAATCAGTTTTATAGCAGTGAGTTTTAATTTTGTTTTTTTCTTTTTAATTAATTAACTAATGGTTGCTCGTATTTTGTCTAGCTTTAACATCTATTTAATTTATTACGTTTGCTTCTTCTTTTTTCAATGCAGAGGTCAAAGATATGGTTGCTATTTTAAATGCTCAAAAATCCATTTATAAGGTAACCATTTATATTTTTGAATGCTCAGAATAATATAGAAGGTCAAAGATATAATTGTTGTATTTTTAATTTATTTTATTTTTTTTCGCACACACTATATAATCAAAGATATAATTGTTGTATTTTTAATTTTTTTTTTCGCATACACTATATAGTTGTTGTTTGTGCTTGTTTTAATTGGGTTTTTATTCTTGAGCACTGAAAGGAATGTATATATTTTGATTTAGTGCTTGTGTCTTTGTTTGAGTCACAACCTAAACTGATAAAAAACAGTGTTTTACTAGGTATGCTAGTATGTTGTGCTTTGTGTCTTTGAATGCTAAGAAAATAAAATTATCAAGTTTATAGGTGTTTCTTTTAGATTTGATAATAATCCTTTTTTACTAGAAAATATGTTGTTTTGTTTTGACTATTTTCTTTGTTGATTATCATGTTTCTGTTAGAGTAAACATGGGCAGTGATCTTGCTTTTATCTAGGAATTTGTGAGGCTATATAATAGTTAAAGTTTGCTGAATTCAATAATTAGTTATTTTTTCAAGTTAAATATACAACTTCATTGAAGTTTTTTATTTCACGTTAAAAAATATAAAATTTAATCATATATTGAAAGCCAAAGATTAAGATTATTCATTTAGTAGAAAAAGAGATGACATTTTTTTCTTAAAGAATGACATATTTTACTTATTGTTATTGATTTTTCTAACAATAATCAAAACTAACCCCTAATTAATAAATAGATAACTGGCAGTTGCCACACTTCACTCACTCACTCATCACTCCTATTGGTTTTTTAACCAGTTGATTGAAGTGTGTTTGTTTTTAAGTTTAAAACTTGTTTTTAATTTTTTTTTTCAAGTCTAGTTGATTGTCTATTACTTCTTCTAATTTGTGTAGTTTAATTTTAGTTTTCTAGTGCAGTTTAATTTCAGTTAGGTTTAATTTTTTAGGATGTCTATTGAATATTCATTTATATTAAATCTATTAAGTTTTTACTATTTTTTGGGTTCTTTTACCCATAGTTGTTGGTTTTTGCATCATTGCTATATATTGCATATTCCAACATGCATAAATATTAACATGTTTGCATTTGATAATTACAAATAGAAAATCTTCAAAATCAAAATGTTTCATCCACCGGCACTATCCTAACATCAACCAATGCCCCAGCTTCAAACACCAACCAAACATCAACTATTGTAGGATCCGCCACGGATAATAAAAGTAAACAATTGCAAGTCTTTACATTAAGGAAACAAAATATTGATGATAAAAAGAAAATCATAAATTTAGAATCATTTTACAAAAATTCATAGTGATCCTACAACTCCTAAAGCTGAATATAATTATTGTGGAAAGGATTATGCATGTCATATTATTATTAATGGGGCAAGTAATATGTGAAGTCATTTAAAAGTATGCAAGAAGTTTCCTTTTGTGGTTGATAAAAAATAAATTTTTTTCGTATTATAACCTAATAAAACAGGGGGTGAATCAGGAGATCAAATTGTGAGAACTCTTAAAGTAATAGGCTATGATTATAATGAATGCAGACAAGAACTAGTAAAAATATTTATAATTGATGGGTTGCTTTTAATTTTATGGAAGGTAAGGGATTTAAATTATTTTCTAGGACCTTGTAACCCAGATTTGACATTCCTTCTCGTTTCATTCTTATAATAAATTGTTTGAAACTTTATATTGAAGAGAATGAAAGATTAAAGAGAGTTTTTAAGGGTCAATGATTATACTTAACAACAGATACATTGACATCAATTCAAAACATTAACTATATATCATTAACGACTCATTGGATTGATAACGAGTGGAATTTGCATAATTTTTTTTTGAATTTTTGTCAAGTTTCCATATATATGAGTGTGACAATTGGTCAAGTTATTGAGAATTGTTTGTTAGATTGAGGGATTGATAAACTTTTAACTGTTGTTATAGACAATGCAAGCTCTAATTCTGTTACTATTTCATATCTAAAGAATATGATGAAAGATTGGTGAACTAGTATATTGTCAAATGAACATTTGCATGTTAGGTGTTGTGCACACATTATAAACCTTATTGTGTGTGATGGTTCGAAATAGATTAATGTTTCGATTGTTAAGATTTGAAACGCAAATAGGTTTGTGAGATTTTTATTTTCTAGGCTACTTGCATTTAAGAAGTGTGCAAAAAAATCACATATAAAGTGTAAGAAATCATTGTGTTTGGATGTTGCAACTTGATGAAATTTAATTTATCTTATGTTAGAAGCTGCTAAAAAGTTTGAAAAGGTGTTTGTAAGGTTAGATCAAAGTGAACTTAGGTATTTGAGTTATTTTTTAGAGGTTTATTCAAAGGGAAATAAAAAAACATAGGGCCACCTAGTTTGGAGGATTGGAAAAATGCTAGACCTTTGTTGAAGTTTTTAAAAATCTTTTACATGGTTACATTGAAATTTTCTGGCACATTGCATGTCACATCAATTTCTTTTTTCAATGAATTGCTCTACATGCATACAAATTTGTTGCAATTGTGTAAAAGTTGAGATAATCTTTTAAGTGGAATGACGATGAACATAATGGGTAAGTTTGAGAAGTATTGGGGTTGTGAAGCAAATAAGAATTTTTTTATTATATGTTGTTAATGTTTTGGATCTAAGTCTTAAGTTGAAATATATGAAATTTTATTTTGGTGAGTTGTATGATTATGACAAAGCACAATTACTAACAAAAAAAATGAAAGATAATTTGATGAGCTTGTATGAGTTTCATTTGAAAACCGATAAAGTGGTGGATGATAAAAGATATAAACAAGATGTTAATGATGCAATTGATAACATGGAGGTAGATATTAACATTTTAGCTCGATTCAAAAGGCACTTACAGGAGGAAGATAGAGTGGAAAATAAAAATGAGGTTGAGAGTTATTTGATTGATAGTTGTGAAAATCCTAATGATGATAAATTGAATATTTTAGGTTGGTGGAAGATTAGTGCTTCAAAATATAAGATACTTTCGAAAATTATATAACATGTTCTGGCTATTTCTATATCCGCAATGGCTTTCGAATCAGCCTTTAGCACAAGCGGTCATATACTCAATTAATTTCAAAGTTCTCTATCTTCAGTAACAGTTCAAGCACTTAATTGTTGTCAAAATTGGTTACATAATGGTCCAATTCCAACTCAAAATAGAACCTTGATGAATGATTTTTAAACCTACGAAAACCTTGAATCAGGTAATGTTTCTTAAAAACTTACACATTTTATTTTATTATTTATTAATTAACACATTTTTATTCTAACATGTTTAATTTTTTTATTTTGTAGAATTTGTTGGAAAGTTGCATTTAGCAATAGATGATAATTAATTCACAAATGGTGATGTATTTATTGAAAATGTATGGATAAAAATATTATTTTTATTTTTATATTTTTTAATTTAATTTATCATATTATAATTATAGATTATGAATTTCAAGAATCAAAGTGCAATATTCTTGAAGTGTTTTTTTATCGAGACAACGTGCAAATAAAGATTTATTTTTTTGGCTTGAAATATTTTATGATAATGTTATTTGTTGCTTTTTTTTTTAAACCATTTGAAGATAATGGTTTGTAATTTGAATTTTAACTTATTGGTGTGTGACTGTGTTATTTAAACTTTTCGAAAGTGAAAAAATATTAGGAAGGTAAAAAATATATTGAATAAAAGATTGACATTAATACTTTTAATATAAATAAATATTCAATAGCCAAAAAACTTAATAAACACAAGATTGACAATAGAAATTTAATATAAATGAATATTTAGTGATAAAAAAATTAAATATATTTTGAAATCTTCAAAGAAAATTAGACAATACTAATATTAATAGCAAGCCCATCAAAAATTTATTAAAAATTTATCATAAAGCACATTACAAAGCCAAAAAATCCAAAAAAAGCATATAGATTTTTTGGGTTTTGGGTATTAAAAACCAAACCAATACTAGTCGGTTTAGACTGGTTTTGATTTTTTTTCTAGTTTAGTTATTTTTTATAAATAAAAATTAAATCAAACAAAAAATAATCATCCCAATAACAATTATATTTCTAGGAAGAGAACAGAAAGGAAAACAGTTCTTGAAGTCCCAGGAAGAGATTCAAGAACAGGTTGCTAAAAAGTAACAGAGGTTAAAAATCAATCTATTCGTGGGTGTCCAATATGATCATGACAGACGAGCAATCAAATTAATGCACCACAGCTGAGAGTTCTGTAAGCAAAAACATGATACGATCCCAAGGATAGAAGAGAACAAGAATGCACTTTATACTGTGAAAATCACTTGCACCACTCTGACGGGAACAATTCTTCGTTTATACAGTACAGAGAATTCTTGCTGTAATAGTGATTCGTAAATTTACATGCTCAGGGAAAGTAGCGTTAAACACACCATGATTCAACAGATATCCCTTGAACTCTTCAAATTCTATCAAAAGAAAGTTCATCTTATTCATATCGATACCTAAGAGTATATTCTGTACACGGTACAAATCATATGCCTTAAAGCATGACTAGGTATACTGTATTATTCACATATATCTGTACACAAAAGTTGACATTTCAGCTACTGTTTTAAACAGCGTGCTGGATAGAGGAAACTTAAAACAACAATTATACATGTTAACGAGGAGACATATTTACATAACCAAAAAGAGTGGTCCCGTTCCACCTTCCTTGTAGGCATCTGGAATACTTGAGTAACAGAAAAGGTTGTTGGTCATTTCCCAGCTCCAGTCCTGTTTCCTGGACACAGCAAGAGGACGCCACCGGTTTATCCGAACATAGTGCTCCCTGATCTTTCCTTCGCCAATAATACTAGTCACAACGGAATAGCAGCTTTCATGACCACCCCAGACCTCATCACCAGGATCTGCAGTTTGGCTTCCATCTGGATGAAAGTACCGATGCATGGGAGGGCCATTGCCTTTCCAGTAGGGATCAAGATTGCGCCAGTATTCTGGAGCTGCCTGAGGATTGATATTTGTCAAACTAAATGAGCTTCGCAAGAAACAATGGTAACAAGACTCAAGCAAGCTATGAGCTAAACTTTCAAAACAATGCTCCACGGGTTGTAAGAAAAAAAAAAGGTTGATGATTGTCTGTTATGAGAATTATTAGTTTAGATGTTATTCATAACACAGAAATTATAGTAATCATCGGAGAATCCACCAAAGAATGGGCTTCTGACTTACCAAGTGCTTTCACTAATAGGGCAAACGAGATAAAGCAGGTTAAGAAATAGACGTGTCAAAGGACCAAGGATTAATCATGACCTTCCCTTAGTACTGGAATGAATTTTAAGGCTGCTTTGCATGCAAATACTTGTGGCATGCAGGAATTGTGATAAAAAAATGAAAGAAAATACAAAAGAGTTTTGGCTTTGTAAAACTATCGAACACTTCCAGCAAGCTTCACATTGTTGAATCATCACTGCACCGCTTAGGTTTGACTCTACCAAATATGAGACTGCAATCTACATAGAAGATGCATACCTTGGTGAAGTGAAACTCCCAAACGTGATCACATAGATCATCCCTCATGATACGATTCTGACATAAACAACAAACAAAATAATCACTTTGGTTGGGGCTCCCCCAGCACATTCGCAAGTAAAACACCCGTATGCACAGGTTTCTGAATTAATGAGGACTGTATGAATTGGAAAAGGAGACAGAGAGCTGGGAATAGGGGTACAGGTTACATGATACTCACGCGTTTGCCATCCATAACAGATAGTGAATAAGCATCCAACTTAGAAATTCCCCGGACAAGAGACAAGCGCGGTATGTGTGCCTTCCCACACCACAATTCCTCACACTAAAACAGACAGCAAAAGTAGAGTCAAATTTTATAATGCAAAATTATCCTAAATTAATACCACAGCAGCTGTTCTCATGAACACGTAAAGTAACATTGACCATAGAACAAGAATGGAAGCTTCATGATTGCACAATAAAATTATTTGCTCAGAAAGGAAAGGGCACTCATAACATTCACTTCTCGGGATTGGTGAAAAGCACTGGAACCTATCAAAATTTAATTGCACATGGTAGCACCCTCAAACCTGCAACAAGGCACTCACCTCAAGGTCTCCTTCCATTGCCAATGACTTCATTCTGTAACATGATATTCGTGTCATCCTACCTTACCTTAAACATTCTCTCTATCTACCACTCTGCTCTAGGATGTCCTTTAAATATTCTATTTTTGGCTCATCGTAGTTAGGTGCCTTTAACAGCAGCATTCTTGTTGCTTATGTACAAACTAGAGAGATAGATCGTAATTCTAGTTCAAAAATAACTTGAATTCTTTTAACACCCATCTCAAGCAAGATACATTCATAGCACATGCCTAATCCCACAACAACAAGCCCAAAACACCGAAGAGATTTCTTAGCTACAATGCTCAAAGGTTGAAAACAACATTCGTATGCTTGATATTTTCAACATATATTCCACATTAGGAGAGATAAATGCACCTTCATACATGATGGGGTCAAAATAAAAAAGCCCAACCGGCCCGTGAAGAGAGAAATAAAAGAAGAATAGAAAAAGAAGGGAGATAAAAATTCAGGCCAATCAAGCCTAATTGGGAAGGAAAGAAAAGAGAGGAAGAGAAGAAGAATATGAAAAGAGGGGAGAAGGAAAAACACCCAATCAAGCTCAAAAAGAGAGGAGAAGATAGAAGGAGAAAAGAGAGAAGAGAAGTAAAGAAGGGAAGAAGAGGGAAGAAAGAAAGAAAGAAAGAAAAAGGCCCAACTAGACGTAAAACAGCCCAACCGGCCTAGGAAAGAAGAGAGAAGAAAAAAAAGGGGGGAAAACAATAGGCTGCCAGAGCTACACTAGTAACTTGCTGTTGACACACCTGCTAGGATCAATTCCCTCGCCAAGACAAAGCTAATGATACCATGGAAGACCACCATTGGAGGCCAAAAGCATCCAGGCATGCAGCTGGAAGACGACATCGAGCATGTATGATGTGCTAAACAATGTTCTACCCCTTCTTCCATTTCAGCCCCTGACCATTTAATAACTCTTTCAACACCTAACCCGATCCAACTAAGCCCGGTACAAGAGAGGAAAGGGTAAAATTTTTTGGCTAAACCAAGCAAAAAAAGACCCTAACCCAACCGAACTCACCTCAAAAAGTGAGGGAGATGAAGAAAAAAAGAAGAGAGAAAGAGAGGGAAAAGGTGGCCAGCCCAAACTAGCTACGAACACATTGGCTCTTTTCATATCGAGCAAATTTCAAATTGGACATGACACAAGGTTCAAGGCATGCCCAATATACTCACCACTTTGAATTCTCTGTTTTACAAGTTAGCAGTCACACTTGAATTTTCTTCTTACAAGGTTATTAATACGATGCCCACTTGAACTCTCTAAATTGTCAATACAATGCCTACCTAAAAGCCTTGTCTCACAAGTTAACATGATGGCATGAACAACTTGTACTAACAAGTTGGTTGTGCAGACATTCACGGTGAATTAAGTATTCTTTGATTCCTACAAGTAGGTGTGCGAACCTACGACCTATAATGAAAATACAGAAAATACAAGTGATGCCAGGTATATTAATACCAATGACCAACAGGTATAAAAGAGAACTGCATAACATTATATATCCACACATATAGAACACAACACATTCTCCTACATTTTCATTTCCCTTCTTCTACAAATTATGCTTAGGCATTGGAGGGTCCTATGAAGGACTTGTTTCACAGGAGAAAATGGATTATTAACCCAAGCACATTTTTTTTTCCAATCCCATTCAGCAGCCGTGGAAAGGTCCGTGTGAAGTTTTTCGAACTTCGTCAATATACGTTTGCAAATTATTTAATTATAGGATAATAAATGCATAACATCCAGCACTATTAACCTTGATCAAACCACTAATTCTTTTTCCACTGAATGAATATGAAAACAACTTAAATAACACATTAATCTTTTGTTTTTTAGCATAAACTATTGACTTGTAGGTTTAGCATCCATCCTTTAGAATCAAAATTAGAAAATAAAAACAATACAATTCCCTGCAAAAGGATCAAAAGCAAGCAAACCCCCAAAAATTAATTAATCAAAGACATGGTCAAAACACCAAAATCCCTCAGGTAATTAAATCATAACCAATCCCATCATCCGGTATCATAACAAACATCAATTAAAAAAGAAAAGGGAATAAGAAAACTGACCTTGGAGGTCCAAAGAAGATCACTAGAAGCAACACGGTTCCAGGTACGAGAAACGACGAGACATAGTGCCAAGCTGCGTGCGTCAAGGTTGTTCAAAACCCTCAACATCAAGTCCCTACCAAGCACATCCAAAGGGTCTTGACAAAAGGGACGACCTCGATCTTCTCTCATCTTCTTTCTTTTCCTTTTCTTTCCTTTCCTCTCCACAACTAAAGCTAAGCCCTCTTCCATGTCCTTGCTCTGGTTCTCCTATAATTCTTGCTCGTTGGTCTGTGCCATTGAAGAGGAGTGAGACAGACAAGTGAAGAAAGAAGGAATGTGAATCAAGTTTGGCCTTGCATTTTTTAACGTTTCTTTCCTGTGGCCTTTTTCTTTACTCTTTGTCGTTTTGTGAGATTGGGATTCTGTCTGAATACAGTGTAACTAGAATAGAGGAGATCATCTGTGGAAGTCTGCGGATTTAGTTTTAGTTTAGGGTGGATGAATTCGGCAATTAGCATGAAAAATGCAAATTAAAAAGGAAATGATATAAAAATAATAATTTTTTGCAGTGAAATATTATATTTTTGTATGTTATGATTGGAAAATATGATTTTTAATTAAATATTTTAAATATCATAGTTTTTATTACCTATTATATATTATAGTTGGGAATCACAATAAATTTTTAATTAATATTGAGAAAAATTATAAAATTATTAAAATTAGAATTCTGAAATAAAATTTTTAAAATCTAAATATTCAACTGTTAAAATAGCAACTCTATGCTATTTTTTTTTTAAATCTCTTCCAACAATTAAAACAAAAATTAAGGTTTTTTGAGTTATTATTAAGGTTTGGAATGATTAGACCTCTCATATATTTGTTAAGTTATTTATATAATTTATTTAGAATAAATTATTATTTAATTATAATAAAATTACATTTAATTACTTGAAATTATCCGTGAAAATCATCATGTGAGTAATAATTATTTAAGATTTTATATGAAATATATTTTTTAATATACAAGTTGAAAAAAATTATATTTTTACTTATAAAATATATAATTGTTTTTATAAATTTATGGTTTTTTTTGTGAAATCATTATTTAATTATATCTGATTGGTCAACTAACTGAAAGTTTAAAATTGTGATATATTTAAATATTATTATTCTAAAACTTGATAAAATAAAAATATATTATTTTGATATTTTTTTTTAATTTAATGTAAAAATTTCTTAAAATAAAAAACCTTTAAGGTTGTGAACGGCCACTTATGCAGTCGCTGCTAGGTCATGTTCCTCTGCTCTCTCTAACCCAACCCGTCCTTGATACATACCAATCAAGCCCCTTCAAATTCAATCAACAAAGTTTGACAAATTCACCTCCAATTCTCTTACCCTTATCAAAATGACGTGGCAAATTGAATTTTCTTTTTATGCTCTATTATGCCTTAAAGTGTATACCAGCAATAAGCTTTTGCGATTATATTTTTAAATAATAGATTCTAAAAATATATTTTCAGTTATAATTTTAAAAAATAGATTTTAAAAAAATATTTGTTTGATTAAAATTGTTATGAAATGAATTTTTATATGTACAATAAAAAAGTAGATTTTAATGAATAAAAAAACAAGTTATTTTAACATTTAAAAATACAGATTTAAAACACAATTATACATAATATCTAATATTAATATAAAAGGCAAAAGCTATTTAATTAACAAAATGATCTTTTCTAATATTATATAGTTTCAAATTTAATTTGAAATTGGTTCGAGGTTGTTGAGTTATAAAATTAACTTGGATAAAATATTTTTATTAAAATAAAATAATTTCATTTTATAAAACATTAACTTAATTAATCTAAATTTGAGTGAACAATTGAGATATTAAACATCAAGCAATGTAAGCATCAAGCAATGTCAAGTTAATTATTTGTTTGATTTAACTAAAAACCCAATAAATTTTATTTTATCATAACGTTGGTGAAATTTAAATCCATTTAAAAAGCAACAAAAATAGATAAAGGAGCATATGTTACCTTCCAATCCCCCGTGATTATTATGCTATCAAAACGTTACTGAAACTATTGTTCTATGATTTTGGTTAACTAAATTAAACATTTGTCAATCGCCATTCTAAGAAATAGAGGGAGCTTAACGAGTTCTTTTATTCCTTTGTTACTTCCTTCACTCATGGAAGGTAACATGACGAGTCCACAGGACTCAAAGACGGGCCTAGGCCTATCACAACGAACAGCTGAAAGACGACACGAATGCAATAAAGAGACAGACTAGACACGGAACAAGAGGTCCTGAACACCGAAAAACGCATCACAGATCCCGTTATTATCTGTATCGCCGCTGCGATCAGGCAGATGCAGCCAGAATTGCTTCTCTGCGACCCTTAAAGAAGGTCATCATCCAGTCTCTCTCTGGAAGGTTTTCTTTAATTATAGGCGCTTGCTTGAAGTTTTTAATCCAGGCATGCAGGCGAGGAAACTTTTGGGCTTCAAATATTACTCCTTCCCCTACTAATTCTTCAATGAGTCCCAACCAATGAATAACAGAACCAAAGGCTATATCTGCAACCCCTACACTGTCTCCACCAAAAAATTTCTTCTCCCCTAACCCGTATTCTTCTACGTTTTGCAACATTTCAAGGGTTTCCTTAATTGTCTTCTCAAGCTCTTCCCCTTTAGCACGAAACATTCTCCACACTGATGAACCCTGAAGCCAGAATTAACCATGAAATTAATCACTGGAAACTAAATGAGTATGCAGCACCAAAGAAAATTAAGCAAGTCCAGTTTTATAGTATTGTATGAATCATGAAATGTACAATAATGTCTGCACGCTGTACCTTATCTTCGGCAAATTTGACCCAGAAACGAGCCAGAGCTCTCTCGTAGGGGTCAATTGGCAGCAATGGATTTTGGGGCCACATCTCATCGATGTATTCAACAATGATGGTGGACTCGCAAACTGGCTTATCGCCATGGAGAAGCACTGGGATCTTCTTGTGAACAGGGTTATACTTGAGAAGCAGCGGACTTTTATTGGTGAGATCTTCTTCGATATACTCGTATGGAATAGCCTTTAATTTTAGTGCCCATATCACTCGGTAAACAAATGGGCTGGGCAATGCTCCAAGCAGCTTCACGCTTTCCGCCATGACTGAGAGGTTTGTGGTGATTCTTCATCGTTACTATCCACGCTCCTTTATAGTGTTCATTCAACGGAAGAGTCTTGCTTGGGCAGCAATTCAACTTTGCCTTTGAAGGAGTTTTTCTCATTCTTGCGTATTTGCTTACGTGATCATGGGCAATGATTCACAAACAAATGTATTTATATAATCTATTCGCCAAAATCAGAGTTCGAACATGCTAGAAAAGGGCTTGTTTTCTATTCAATCTGGGTTTGAGTTTTTATATATATATTTGTTATTTTTACAATGCTTTATATATTTATTAGATTTAAAGGGTATTTAGTTAACAGTAAAATTAATCGTGGTATAAGCTGGTATATATAAGTTGATCCAAATACTTATAAAAAATATATATATATATATATTCTATTTCTCTTTTCTTTATACTCAAGTTTAATCATGTTTTAAGTTTAATGTTTTCTGGGGAAAAAAGTTTGGATTTTCCTCTTTCTCTCTTTATTCTTTTTAATTATGTGTGGAAAGAGACAAAACTACGAAGATAAGAAATAAAATATTAATTAAAACTATCCCCAGTGGTGAATAGTGATGCGTCACTTGTTCTACGAAAGCTCCAATTTTCCAGAACATACTCGATGTTATTGACGTTGACTATACATCATCTTCTGGATGTTGCTACTTGATAGCCGTCGTGCATGATGGTATAATGTTAAGATATTTTTTTTTATTTTCATATATTAATATTAAAAAAATAAAAAATATATTATTTTATATACTTTTAAATAAATAATATTTTTAAAAATAATCCTTATTATAATATTAAACAGGCTATAATTACATTGCCATGCCTCATGATAGCCAGGACAGGTAAACTGACTGGTTTCCATAAACATTATTTGATTGCGCCAAAATAAGATAAACTCTTCTTTGTATATATGTGTAGCATTAATTCGTGATCGTTTGGCTTTCGTATAGCACATCTTATTTTCAGGCATTATAGGATTTTTTAGAGTTAAATTGTTTACATTTTTATCATGTATTAAATTCTGATAATTCAATTTGAATTTGATAATTTAAATTTAATAAACAGTTAAATTATTGTGAAATTATATTCGAGAGACAAAAGAATAAACAGTTTAAACAAAAGATGAAGAAATGGTTGTAATTATTGTGAAATTATATTCTTCATCTTTCAGTCACCTGAGACAAGGGCCGAAATTGATTCACAAAAAAAAAAAAAAAAAAGGAAGGAAAAAGAAAGAGTTGCAAAGACGGTTCTGTCAGTCAAGATTGGGGGCATCATCGTATCCATGAAAGAGTTTTAAAAGTGAATTAATGATAAAGCTTCTTTGAATTCAACCTTTAATTGATTAATTAAGAGTAGTTAGCTTACTGCTCAAGCAGGAGGACATTGATGATCGCTATAAGAGCCACAGTGACAGTCAACGAAATCCCACACACCGATCTCTCAAAACATGGCTGAAGTTCGCTGCTAGGAAAATGGCCGAGTCCTTTCCGTTATAGAGTCATATGCGCTCTAAAACTTACTTCTCATTTATTCAATGAAAAGTGTATTTTTTGAAAAGTTAATTTTAAAAAAATAAATTATTTTATGATATTTTATAATATAATTAAAAATAAATTAAAAAATACTTTTTAGTATGTGATTATATCATGAAAATTGAAAGATAAGTGGAAAATTAATTTATTAATATTTTAATTTTTTTAAGTTTATTAAAAAAATAAAAATTAAATTTGATAAATAAAAAAACTGAAGGATAATAAAATTGAAAAAATTCAGATTTTATAAATTATTTAAATAATAAAATAACATCTAAAATAATGATAACCAAATATAATAAATAAAAAAGTTGAAAGATAATAAAAATAAAAAAATAATATTTAGTTTTCATAAGTTATTTTAAATAAAAAATAATAATTAAAAAATATAAAAAATAAATTTTAAAGTACATTTCCCCCCCCCCCCAAATTTCTGCTAGTTTATTTTTCCTCCTTTCCCCCCTAGCAATCTACCGAACATTTGATTCGTTTCGAGAGAGCTATGCCCGATGAAAGAGATTCTGATATATTTTTATTTTGTACTGTTTTTGATAGGGTGTTGCGGTATGGATTATGTTCAATGGCAGCGGAGAAGAGCAAGAAAAGGCAGTGAAGGACAGCTTGGAAATGCTAAAAACCATTGAAAAACATGCTCTGGGAAAGAAGAGATTTTTCTGCGGAGACAAGATTAGCTTGGTGGACATAGCCTATGGCTGGATTGCTGGATTGCCCAGTGGCTGGAAGTCTTGGAAGAAGTGGCAGGAATAAAACTGATTGAACCTCAGAAATTTCCTCGCTTGCATGCATGGATAAAAAACTTCAAGGACGAGCCCATAATCAAGGAAAATTTGCCAGGACATGACGAGATGCTGGTCTACTTTAAACCTCTCGGAGGAAGGGCACCTTCACGCTAATTTATCCAGCAATCAGGACACGAGAGGGATAGGGTCCTTGAATTACAACTATTTTTATATTTATAAAGTAAAACTGCTGTTAGTTTTACTGTTCATCTTTTTTCCTTTTATAAAGATATAGATTATCGTTTATTGAAATAGTGTACTTATTTATCTTTTGATGTTTATAAAAATATAGATTATGGTGGATTCAAACGCTATAATGATATAATTATTCTTATAAAAAAAAAACTTGTAACATGTATAGTAGTGAAATTGTTTTATCATTGAATATATTTGATTTTAAAAAAATAATTAAGTATGTAATATTTTATCTCGGAAATGACATGATTCTTACATGTTACATTCACATCTAGCAATGTCGCAATATCCCAAACACTTAGATTAGATATGGTTATAAAACTCAAGGTTATAGAGCTTGGCTCGATAATCAAACATAATAGTTTAATTGCCAAAGATATCAAGACACAATATTATTAGACTTGATTTGACCACTGGATCCAAAATTATTAAGCTTGGCTAAATAGCTAAATTTAAGAATTTTGAGTTTGGTTTCATTGTCCAAACAAATATTATTGGCTTTGGTTCCACCATAAAATTCAATGCTATTAGATTTAACATTATTACTAGATTTAAATATATTGAGTTTGATTTAACAATCAAATTCAAGAATATAGGGTTTTACTCTGTTGTTAGACTCAAAACACTTACAATATTCTTAAAAAAATATTATTAACTCATTATGAAGCGCGAATCTATATGTTGGTATATTCTAAAATTAATAATATCATGGGCCAATGTTCAAGCATAAAGGTCTATTTAAGATTGTGGTGATGATAAAAATTTAAAGTGTTTTTTGTTTATAAATGCATCAAAATAAAGTTTTATTATTATTTAAAAATTATTTTTAAGATAGCATATTAAAACAATTTAAAAATATAAAAACAATTTAAAAACATAAAAACATTATTTTGAGCAAAAAAATTCAATTTTTTTTAAAATACTGTTTAAATAAGCTCCCAATCACACCTTAATTCCTGTTATATTTGCTGCTTTTAAAGATTAATAACATTTTATCTGTGCAGCATGCAGTAAAAACAAGTTTTTGTCTAAATTGTTATATTTCCAAGCTAACACTTTAGGTTGAGTTATGTAGTTTTTGAAATTATAATAATAATTATTTTTAAAGTATTTTTTATTTAAAAATATATTAAAATAATAATTATTATTTTTAAAAATTTAGTTTTGACTTTAACATATTAAAATGATCTAATATTATAAAAATATTAGTTTAAAAAAATTAAAAATCGTTTTTTTGAATGAAAAAACAAGCATTCTCTTGATTCGATGATTATCTCGCGATCTCAGCTAAATTATGGATTCGTTCGGCAGAGCTTGACATTTTCTGAAGGAAAATCCACCGGCTGCTTTCATAAACCACTGTACTCCATAGTTTTATCTTCGTGGAGTCCGAAGATTCCTTGTAATTAATCGGAGAATCCAAGATTAGACAGCTAAATTGATTTTTGAATTCCGAGAGATGGCAAACGAAAGAAACAAAAACCAGTTGTAATATATCAGCAATAATTGCTACATTGTTTATAGTCACAAACTCTAAACGAAGCCAGTTTCTCAACAAAGAATTAATACACTATTATACATAATTGAGCAGTTCATCACTCAAGATCCTCTGAGAATCCACCAAACAATGGGTGAAGTGAAGCTGCACGGGACATGGAATAGCCCATATAGTTGGAGAGTGATTTGGGCGCTGAAACTGAAGGGCATACCGTATGAATACATAGAAGAAGATTTGAGCAATAAAAGTCCCATGCTTCTACAGCATAACCCTGTCCACAAGAAGATCCCGGTGCTTGTTCATGATGGGAAACCAATTTGTGAATCCATGGTAATTCTCGAATACATTGAGGAGACGTGGCCACAGAACCCCATGCTGCCCACCGACCCTTATGAGAAAGCTGTAGCTCGGTTCTGGCTCAGGTTTGCAGATGATAAGGTATGCTTTGATTTTTGTTCCTGACAATTTATTTATCAGCTGTCAAATTTGGTTAATACGTGCGTAACGAATTTTCTATTAGAGGGATAACAAGATCCCCCCAGCAAATTCTTCAAATCTAAATCACAATTCAGCTCCTGCTCATGAGTAAATGATCAGATGAGAACTGGATATTGTACAGGGGCAATGATGTGTGATTGCTCCGATGCTGCTCTGTTTACTGACCTTTGCCCTGTTAGCAGATCCCAATGCTCTGGAGAATAGCTCGTACCAATGGAGAAGAAGAAAAGCAAGCCATCAAGGATGCCTCTGAGATGCTAAAAATGATCGAAGAACATGGAATAAGCGAGAAGTTTTTCGGTGGTCAGAAGATTGGCCTGGTGGATTTAGCATTGGGTGCAGTTGCTCACTGGTTTGTTGCCATTGATTCAAAGAAGGGCTTGAAGATGCTTGAAGCCCATAACTTCCCTCGTCTGCATTCCTGGACCAAAGATTTCAAGGAAGATCCTGTGATCAAAGAAAACCTTCCCGACCTCACGCCTCTTCTCAAGTGATATCCCTGTTTTTCTGTGATGAATCTGACGAATTTGTGATTGAATAAAGATTGAAGAAAATTAATGTCATGTAGTAATCTTAAATGAAAATTAATGTCATAAGAAAACATTTACTCCAACCGAAAACGTGATTGACTTATGGTATAAATTATATACAATGGCTATTTTAAGCATCAAATTGTCAGACGTCAGGTTAGAAAATCTCTCGAACAAGAGAACTCTTACGTGATTGACTTATGGTATAAATTATATATAATGGCTATTTTAATCATTTTAAGCATCAAATTGTCAGATTAGAAAATCTCTCGAACAAGAGAACTTAATCATACTACTCGTAATCATCATGTATATTCTTATAAAATACCCATATTTCTGTAGAAATTTCTCAAATACCTAAATATATTTCAACGCAAAGTATAGTTAATTTTAAATTTAAATAGAAGCAATAAAAAGTTTAATCAGTCATGAATAAATGTAAATTTAATGTTAGGATCTAAAAGAAAACTATCTCTTGCAATCAGGAGCCATATCATATTTTGCCAAAATCCACGATCCAAACTATAATTTTTTCAAATCAAGGATAAAAATATAATTTTGTGTTTTTTCCCAGTTGTTACAAAATAACAGACGCCTCAGCTCCCATGAACAACATGTACCCAAATAAAAATTATATACAGAGAATGAGTTTACTCAAATATGTAAATGTTTTTAAAGGAAAGGTACTCAAACAAAGAATAATAAATATTTGGCATCAAATATGTAGTTTTCCCATAAAGTTATAAAATAATTTATTTAAATAATGGAAGAAATATTAAGCTTATAAAATCACGAGGACTAATTTACTAGTTCTTTTTGCATTTTACTTTTCAGAGTTAAGGTGATAAACTATTAAAATAAATGCTAAAAAAACTCATTTTTAAACCGTTTATACACTTATACTTCATAATGGATTTTCATAATAAGATTATCATTTTGTAATTAATAATTTAAGCTTTATAGCAGGGTAATATGATATTTTCACAGGATATATTTGTTGTTACAAATTTAATGGAGGGAAAGAAGTCTTTTAACCTTTTATTTATACAATATAATATATAAAATACCTTCAAAATTCAATTTGGCTTTAAAATTAAAACTCTTTTTTTTTGCTATTTTTTTTTGTTTTTTCATTCAATATTGAATTCATTAAAGACTTTTCAATTTTTAATTATTTTTTTATCACAAGGTTGTTATACCAACCCTGGTAGGTTGGTTTTTTTTTCTTCTCAATTTCTCTTCGTCCTATGATATTAAAATCTATAACCGAGTCATAATATTTTATTTTGCTTTAAATACGTGGGGAACGCTGTAACATAGTGTTTTTACGCTAGGAAAGAAATCGACAGTTTATTTTGCTTTAAATACGTGGGGAACGCTTTAACATTGTGTTTCTAGGCTAGGAAATAAATCGAAAGCCGCGTGCTCCCTATCTAGTTTGCTTGCAGACTTTGACTTACTCTGCAACTGGACTTTTTTGGCCCCGATCTCTCAAAAACAATGGAAGAAGTGAAGCTGCATAGTTTCTGGCCTAGCCCGTACTGCTACAGAGTGATATGGGCGCTGAAACTAAAGGGTATCAGATACGAGTACGTAGAAGAAGACCTTTCCATCAAAAGTCAAGCACTATTGCAGTACAACCCGATTCATAAGAAGGTTCCGGTACTTGTTCATGGCGGCAAACCAATTGTGGAGTCCATGGTTATTCTTGAATACATAGAAGAAACGTGGCCGGATCATCCTTTGCTGCCAAAAGATGCTTATGAGAGAGCCATAGCTCGATTCTGGATTCAATTTGGAATAGACAAGGTAATCCTTTTTTGCTCTATTAATTTCTTTTTTGCTATGAATTATTTAATTGGGTAAACCATGTAAATTCTTGTGTCATTTTTCATTTTATCTTGTCCCTTACCTTTTGTCTTGTCGGGTTTGTATGCCAGTATCCTAACAAGTTCGATAATTTTTTCGAGTTCTTTGTGCAAGAATTTATCTGTATGGTAATCATTTTCTTGATCTTATTTGGAACACAAAGTTCCAGTTTTTCATTGATTATAGCTCCAATCTTCTATTTTTGGCCTTTAAGATCAAGCTGAGAAAAAACATATCCTTGGTTATCCAGGGCATGACCTTTTTTGCATTTTTCCGAGCAACTGAAGAAGAGAAAGAGAAGGCAGCAACACAAGTATTAGAAGTGCTAAAAATCCTGGAAGAGCAATGCCTTGGAGACAAGAAGTTTTTCGGAGGGGAAAACATTGGAATGGTAGATATAGCATATGGGTGGCTGGCCCACTGGTTTGAAGCCTCGGAAGAAATGGTTGGTGTGAAATTGGTGGAACCAAGCACTTTGCCTCGCTTACATGCCTGGATTCAGCGCCTTAAAGAAATTCCGGTGATAAAAGAGAACCTTCCTGATCGTGAGAGACTGCTGGTGCATTTTAGACGCTTAAGGCAGATGTTTCTCTGGGACTCGTCTATGTAGGTCATGATCACTAGAAGTCTAGTAGCCCAATGTGTGATCTATGCAGGCACCAGGAGAAATCTGGATATATATTTATCCTGATCACGATTTTAGCCAAGCAAGACCTTTATGTTGTGGAGACTAAACTTCAGCTAGATTACAAGCTAAGATTATCCAGTCACGTTAAATTATTGTACCTGATCTATTTTGGAGATATCCATGAACCTTGTGATCGAATTTTTTTTTCCTTTCAATTTCTCCTTTTCAGCTGGAAAGCCCCAGTATAAATTCTCTGTGATCTATATGAAAGAAAGCCAGCAACCCTCGAATTTATTTAGAATTTTCAAATGCAATCGCAACTTGAACAGAATCTCCCACGGATAAAAAAAAAAATACTTCATCAAATCATGGAGCCTAACGTTGATCATTGCTCTTCTAATTCTCCATTAATTTAATTGCCAAGAAGAAAAGCTTGCAATGATCAATACCCACATTCAGCCAGCGGGTTATCAGGGCTGTAAAACTAAAGGGCGGTAGCTATGAGTGTGAAGAAGACGATCTCTCTAGCAAGACCACAAGAGCAACTCGATTTCGCAGTGCAACCCGGTAAAAAAAATCCCAGTGCTTGTTAATGATGGAAAACCATTAGCGGAGTCTACGGTGATTCTTGAGTGCATTGATGATACATGGCCAGAAAATCCTCTGCTGGCGAAGGATCCTTATGAGAGATCCCCTGGCTACTGGTTTTGTTGTGGCCTAAGTTTATGGACGAAATGGCAAGTACTTTTCCTTTGGGCTATTCAGAACATAACGTATTAAGCATTCATTTTCTTGGAGAAGAGAGAACTTGGCCTAATTTATTGAGTAGAATGGTATAAATTAGGAGTGATCATTGGTTTTTATCAATAAAAACAATTATATGGAAACTGATTTTAAATTGGTTTTGGTTGACTAGTTTCTGTTTTGTTCAGTTGTAGTGAAGTTCCAATTATTTTATATTAAAAATTAAAATTTAATTGATTAGTTTCTGTTTTGTTCAGTTCTATGTTTTGATTTGATTATTTTATATAAAAAACTAAAACTTATATTGGGCTTTTTTTTGTTTTATTTTTTAATGGGTTTGGTTTTGATTTAGTTTGATTTTTTTATTTTTTATTCTATTTAATTTTTTAATTTTAGACTTATAAAACCCAACCAAATATTTTTTAAAATATTATAATATGTTTTAAGTTTATTTTTTAAAATATTTACAATCTTTGAAGATAAATTTAAGTGCAAGCAGTATTTTTCTTAGCTTATATCCTGTTAAAAATTGAGATTGAGTTTATTTTTTAATATTTATTTATTGTTTTTATGTATTGATATTGAAATAATTTTAAAAAATTAAAAAAAAATATATTATTTTAATATCTTTTAAAAAAAAATAATAATATTTTTGACATTTAGATACCAAAAAAAAAAAGAGCTAATAAATGACACCCTCCGGAGTCCGGACCTTCAGAACCATAGAAGAGCAGGGGCTAGGAGGACAAAAAATATTCCGCTGTGACAGAATTGAACTCGCAGATATTTCCTGGGGATGGAACTTTCATGCATTAGCAGCTGCGGACGAGATTATTGCCGTCAAGTTAATATCGAGTATCTTCAGGGAAATTGAAACTTTCATAGAACAACTGGACATGGTTTTAATTAATATTTTATTTGAGGAAAATTCCCAGAAAAAATATAATTAAACTTAAAACAAGATTAAACTTGAGCATAAAGAGAAGAGAAGAGAAATAGAATATATTTAATTTAATTAGATCATGTTTTAGCATCTTCAATCTCTGATTTTGGCGATTAGATTATATAAATACATTTGTTTATGAGTAAGAACACGTAAGCAAATACATCATTATGGAATAGAAAACTCCTTCAAAGGCAAAGTTGAATTGCTGCCCAAGCAAGACTCTTCCGTTGAATTAACACTATAAAGGAGTGTGGAAGGTAACGATGAAGAATCACCACAAACCTCTCAATCATGGCTGAAGGAGTGAAGCTGCTTGGAGCATTGCCCAGCCCATTTGTTTACCGAGTGATATGGGCTCTAAAATTGAAGGCTATTCCATACGAGTTTATAGAAGAAGATGTCACCAATAAAAGTCCGCTGCTTCTCAAGTATAACCCTGTTCACAAGCAGATCCCAGTGCTTCTCCATGGCGACAAGCCAGTTTGCGAGTCCATGATCATTGTCGAATACATCGATGAGACGTGGCCCCAAAATCCATTGCTGCCAAATGACCCCTACGAGAGAGCTCTGGCTCGTTTCTGGGTCAAATTTGCCGAAGATAAGGTACATCGTGCAGACATTATTGTACATTTCATGATCCATACTATACTATAAAACTGGACTTGTTAAGCTTAATTTTCTTCGGTACTCCATACTCCATTTAGTTTCCAGTGATTAATGTCATGGTTTATTCTTGCTTCCAGGGTACATCAGTGCGGAGAATGTTTCTTGCTACAGGGGAAGAGCTTGAGAAGACAAGGAAGGAAATCCTGGAAATGTTGCAAAACGTAGAAGAACACGGGTTAGGGAAGAAGAAATTTTTTGGTGGAGACAGTGTAGGGATAGCAGATATAGCCTTTGGCTCCGTTGTTTATTGGTTGGAAGTCATTGAAGAAGTGGTAGGGGAAGGAGTAATATTTGAAGCCCAAAAGTTTCCTCGCCTGCATGCCTGGATTAAAAACTTCAAGCAAGCGCCTATAATTAAAGAAAACCTTCCAGAGAGAGACTGGATGATGACCTTCTTTAAGGGTCGCAGAGAAGCAATTCTGGCTGCATCTGCCTGATCGCAGCGGCGATACAGATAATAACGCGATCTGTGGTGCGTTTTTCAGTGTTCAGGACCTCTTGCTTCGTGTCTTGTCTGTCTCTTTATTGCATTCGTGTCGTCTTTCAGCTGTTCGTTGTGATAGGCCTAGGCCCGTCTTCAAGTCCTGTGGACTCGTCATGTTACCTTCCATGAGTGAAGTAATAAAGGAATAAAAGAACTCTTTAACCTTCCTCTATTTCTTAGAATGGCGATTTACAAATCAATAAAACAAGTATCAAATTGGTATAAAAATACTAAATGAAACAAAATACTAAGAAATAAAATTAAAAAAATCTAAAACAAATAAAAAGGAATCACAAGAATGAAGGCCATAATTAAAGTAAGATGAAAATAGAGTATTACTCCTAATATTAGCTGCATGTTTTCCAATGGAAAAAATGAGAAAATAATGGGAAATCCAACGCCAATATGGATGACACGCGTCCCGTCATTGAATATGCCTCCACGTTATGCTTTAGAGGAGATAGTGTGAGGCTCTTTTTTAATAGCTGGAGGGAGTTACATCGGCATCCAAAAGGTGTGCGCGTGACAAATACATTGTATGTACTCGTAACTTTTCTCTGTTTTCTATTTTAATTTATGTAAATACCCAAATATTCCAGACCCATGTGATATTAAATAAAAAACTATAACAAAAAAAATAAAAAAACCCCTCGATCTTGATTATATATTTTTCATTCTAATAGTACTTTAATAATTATACTATGCCAAGAAGAGAAAAATTTGAATACACCCATGTCCTAACAGTTAATTTAATTTTTAAGTTTATTTTAGATATTATTTTGTACAAATAAAAGGCTGAAAAACCTTTTCATCTTCATTTAATCTTATAACAATAAATGTGTTTATGAAAAACATCATATTACCATTGAAAGTATGCTATAAAACTTTTTAATTATTAAAAATAAAATGATAATTTTATCATGGAAATTCACGGATAAATATGAGTGTATTTTATCATTTAATTTAATAGTAAAAAAAAATCCCAGTGCTTGTTAATAAAAAAAATTAAATTATTTAAAAAATGCAAAAACAATTAGAATTAAACTCAAATGCAAGGAGTACTTTTATTAGCTTACGTCACGTTTAAAATTGAGATTGATTCTTGAGTGCATTGACGACACGTGGCCAGAAAATCCTCTGCTGGCGAAGGATCCTTCTGAGAGATCCCCTGGCTCCTGGTTTTGTTGTGGCCTAAGTTTATAGACGAAAAGGGAAGTACTCCTTTGAGCAGAGAGAACTTGGCCTCGTTTAGAATTAATTTTTTTTATTTTTTTATCTGAAATTATATTTATTTTTTAAAAAATAATTTTTAGAAAATAATTTTTTAAATTTTTCTATGTTTGTTTACTGTTAAAAAAGTTTGGTCAACAAAAACACTTCCCGATCAATGAAAAACATTCAATCAACGGAAAACACTTTCTAGTTAATGAAAAATATTTTTCAATTAAAGAAAAATTTGGCTTGGTTTTCAAGAATTTTTTTTTATTTTTGGCTGTGTATGTTTTCTGAAAAATGGTTTCTGGAAAATTACTTTCCAAAATTTCATGTATTTGTTTGCTATTAGAAAAGTTAGTCAACAGAAAACACTTTACAGTCAAAGAAACACTTTCTAGAAGTTGTAAAAAAATTAGAAATATCATATTATTTGCTAATTATATCAAATTGAGTCCTCAAACTTTTAATTGCTATATATATATATATGTATATATTATTTTGAATATTTATTATTAAATATCACCTCTTAAAATTTAATTTTTATAATTGTTATTTTCTTTACTCTTATCATTTTTTTATTGAATTTTTTTATCTATCAAATTTGATTCTCATTCTTTTGATTGTTACTTATTTTATTTGAAATAATTTATGAAATTTTAATATTATTATTTTAATTTCTTTATCTTTCATTTTTTTTATATATTTTATATTTGATATATTTATTTTATTTGAGATAATTTATGAAATTATAATTTTTTCAATTTCATTATCATTCAAATTTTTAATTTGTAAGATTTATCCTTCATTATTTTAATAAACTTGAGAAAAATAAAACATTAATAAGTTATTTTCTAGCTCATTTT